AAAAAGGCTTTTTTTTTTTTTGCCACTTTGAGGTGTTCCTTCATTATGAGAACGCCAATAGATGCTCTGTCAGGCAAACTCTGTACCAGAAGTAGTAAAAGAATTTCAGAAAAAACTTTGGTGCTGGATACCTAAAATTATCAGGGAAAAGAGAGGGCAGTGTGTTGACTTTCTTTAAAGAATGTCACTAATTACTGGGCAGGAGAAGACTATGGATGCATTAGGCAAAGGCTTCCCTTGGTACTTTAGGGAACTGGCTGGTATTCTCCATGGGGGCCTCTGAATGAGGCTTAAGGAGACTGAATGAATATTAAAGGAAAATAGCCCTTCATATTTTAAGCTGTGGCTCAATTGTCCAAATGAATAAAGATACATGCTAAATAAGATAATGTGCATGTCCCTGTGCGTGAATTGTGTGTCTGTGTGTGCACAAGCATGTCTGGGCATGTGTGTCTCTGTGTGTTCATGCGTGTTTGCGTGCACACATGCATGTCTGTGTGTATCGAAGTATGTGTGCATTTGTGTGTTCTACATGTGTGTCCCTGTGTGTATTGCACGGGCACATACTCAGCCCCCGGCTGCAGCAGGTGAGTGCACTCTTGACACTGGAGAGAATTCTGGGCTGATTTGTATTGTCATTTACCCGCTTTGCTTCTTGAGCAAGTTACGTTGTTTTTTTTTTTTTCGTTGTTTTTCTGAACCTCAGTTTTTTACCTATAAAATGGTGTGTGTATGTGTGTGACTCTCACTATAAAAGGGAAAAGCAGTGTGTTTAGTCACTTAGTCATTTTAGTAATTAAACTGAATTGACTCTATTCACACAAGATTTGGTTATCTTTTATTGTAGATTCTTCAACAAGATTGGCCTCCCAAAGAGCCAATTGTGATATCTAAACTTATCGACAGCCCTCATGAAAATATGAATTGCCTTGATTAATCCTTACAGCAACTCCATGAATGAGGAGCAGTTGTCTCTGCTTTACATCTGAGGGAACAGAGATTGAGAGGGGAGGTAATCTGTCCTGAGTCACCCAGAGAATTTCTGGAGATCTGGGACACAAACACCTGACTCCAAAGCCAAGCTTGCAACCGTTCTCCTTCACCTCACCACAGCCCAAGACTGTTGGTGGTTGTGCAGTCGGCAGCATTGGTATCTGGTTCTCTTTACCCAGCTAATGTTTGCCCTCTTCCTTGACACATCCGTTTCTCCTCTATATCCCGGCTCATCCACAATTTCTTAAGGTCATCCCTCCATTCTGCCTGGGTGGCTCAGTCGGTTGAGCGTCTGACTCTTGGTTTTGGCTCAGGTCATGATCTCAGGGTCATGAGATCGAGCCCTGCATTGGGTTTGGCACTCAGCGCTGAGTCTGCTTGAGATTCCCTCTCCCTCCGCCCCTCACCCTGCTCCTGCATGTGTGCATGCGCACGCTCTCTCTCTCTTCTAAAATAAATAATTTTTTTTTTTTTTTAAAGGAGGACTTGGGGACAATTCAAACTGGACATACAGTGAATGCTAGCCTCACTTGTCAGTGCATCTGCTGACACATCTTAGAAGCACCTGATGGTACTGGACTCGCCTCGCAAGTATCTGACAGCTGCCTACCTGGCTGCGGGCTACTGCTCCTGGCGTTCTACCCAGGAGGCCACCGAAGGAGAACCGCCGGGACAGGACTGTTGGATCCCTACCGAATCTCCAGAGTCTCATGAATCCTTGAACTCTTCAAACATTAGACTCTACCATTTGGGTTCCCAGAAACAGTACGGTCCTCGGAGGCCCAGATACTGGGCTATGAAGTTTAGGAAAAGCAGGGGAACAAAAAGACTGCCGGGGCGGGGCGGGGGGGGGCGGTTACCTCGAAACTAATTTAAATATAATCAGTGAGAAATAGAAGCAAAATCCTATTTCCAAAATTATTATTTTTGTTTAGCAAGATACATAGACTCAATTTCGCACAGAAAATTCTGTAGGGAAAAGCCTCTCAGTAGAGCTGTTTAAAAGCAATTTAATATTTTTAATAAGGCAAACGGTTCTGATTCTCAACTCTTTAGCCATGAAATCTTAAAATCTAATGAAAGTCCGTTTTCAATAAATGCTGCTTTACAAATTTTATTGCCCATTTAACAACTAAAGAATATTAACATTCTTTAGACACTTAAATTTAATCATAATGACAAATATTGAGCTCTCTAACTGCCCTTCATGTGATTTAGTGCCCATAAAATATGGGTTTGCTTTTCTGATATTTTGTCTCAAAATTGTAAATAAGGTCAATTTACCCAGCAGCCTGCAAATTTCTGAGCAATTTTGTATTATCCCCAAGCAGTCATTTAGAAACATAAAACACAACATACTGCATGACAAATAAGAACACTTGAGAGGTTTTACATTTCATTCATTAACAACAGTTCTTCAAAGGATTTGGGCAAGAACTTGTCCCATAGAGAGAGTGCTGAGACTGTGGTACCAGAGAGGTGACAAGACCAGTGTCCCTCAAGGAGACACAGGTGGCAGAGGTGGGGAGCAATTTTCCTCATTTTGAAACCTCTCTCTCTTAAGGGAGGTAGTCAGCCCACTGGACTGGTACGTGGTAGATTAGGACTGAGCGCTCTTCCAAAGCGAATACTGCCTCACCAGTCAATGCTCAGGTTCTAGAAGATAAGGATAATCATAACACCTATGACCCATGATGTGGAGAGGATTTAATTCAACATTATATATGGAAGTGTTTGCAAACCCAAATCCGCCCCCTTAAAGTAAGGGAGTATTAACATCTTTAGCATTGTTTCACTCTATACCTATTTTGACCAGGATCACAACTTTGGTCTTGTGCCTGGCATAATCTCTCTCACTGTTTAAAGCTGCCCTTTGCCACCATAAAATGTCTCCTCTGGTCTCTGGGAGTTACTAGAATGTGTAAATAAAGCAACACAAACCCACTCCACTGCTAGAAAACAAATTGCATCATTAATGGGTCTGTCGATGGTGTCTTCTTGGCCACAGCCCAGTGCGGCCCCTACACATACTTCTTGTCTCTCTCCACAGCTTTGTTGTTCTCCACGACAAGCTCACCGTCATACATACACTTTATTTCCCTATTTGCCTTATTCGCTATCTCCTTCAGCAGGATATAAGCTCCACTTGGGTAGGGCTGTCTTTCTGTTTCACGCGCTGTCGTATCTCTTCCACCAAGAACAACGATTGACATATAGAAACATGAATTAATGATCTCCAGCTTGTGACCATTATATAAATGCTCATATATCTTCAGCCCAAGGAAACCTGGGAACCATTGGGAATGGTTCATTAAAGTTTGTGTTGCTTTTAATGTTTTTAATGTGCTGATTCTGGTATATCAAAGCTCATAAAACAATTTTATTATTTTTAATGTTTTCAACTGGCCTCATCAGCACTTTCTTATTTGAGCCAGTTTTGTCCTTTTAGTTTTTGTCTCTGTGAAGATGGAGTATAGCTCGTATCTCAGATACTAATGTTAGATTTCTAGAAAAACATAAGCCATAGTGAGGGAGTGCTGTAGACTGACTGTGGCCCCCCCACCCCCAAATTCATATGTTGAAACCTAGTCTCCAATATGATGGTATTAGGAGGTGGGGCCTTTGAGAGGTGATTAGGCCATGAGGACAAAGCCCTATGGATGAGATTGGTATCTTTATAAAAAAGACCTCAGAGATCTCTCTTGCACACTCTTCCATGTGAGGACACAGTAAGAAGACAGCTGTCTATGAACCAGGAAGTGGCTTCTCACCAGACACCAAATTTGTCAGTGTCTTGATCTTGGATTTTCCAGCCTCTTGAGCTGTGAGCTTGTTTATATGCCATCCATTCTCTGGTATTTGGTAATGGCAGCCCAGAGGGACTAAGACAGGGAGTTTTCCCCTCCCCTAAGTAGAATTTGCAGGTAAACTCTAAATCTATTCTCCAAGCAGTTTCCCACCATTTAATGTTCATAAATTTCCTTTGTATACTCAATCTCAAGAAACCAAAGTGTGATTATAAACAGCACTAATAATAAAGAGGCATGAAAGTTTTACCACCCTCTGTTCCCACAGTGCTTCAGAGATCTGTCAAATGGTTCTGTGGCAGATTGGAAAGAGGGGGTTGGGTTAGGAGTCATGGCCCAACCACCAGTGATGCTGGCTCCGTACTTTACGGTGGGAATCACTATTTTAAAAGTTCTAGTTTTGTTCATTAGTTGCACCAGAAGATGAACCTGTGGGGAATGTTAAAGAGAAAGAACGAGTAGAGATAGAGCAGAAGAACTGGGGGGTAGTGGAGCCCATAACGGTGTTGCTTTCATGTATCTTGGAGAGAGACTTTCCTCTGTCTTTATAAAATCACACAGACAAGGGACAAGGTTTGACAATCCAGGAAAAAGACGCTTCTTTCTGTTTTTAATTCCCTCAGGTCTCTGACTCCTTGAGCTTGAAAACAACTTCATTTTTGTAGGATTTTCCTAAATAAGACTCTGCTTGTAGAGGAAGAAACAGAATGTGATTCTATTTCCACTTCTAGAGCCAGTGCAGAGGCTTATTTGTTAGACGTTGTTGAAGAGTGTAAAATGACACAGATGGGAGTGGTGAAGGGTCTTAAAGTCCCCTCATCCCACCTGGGAGTTTGCTGCCTCCTTTGTGACCTTCACTTGGCCACTTCTCCTGCCTTCAGGGAATTTTCCAGACAAAGCCTCGTGATTGGCTATCTGTGAGGTAGAGACAACAAAAGCCTTTAAATTTATCTCGTCTATTTCCAGAGAGAAAGACACAGCGTAGATGGAGAAGAATGCCACGTTTGAAGACATTTGCTTCATCTAGAAAGTCTAAATCAGTCTCCGAAATGTGCAGCTGTGCTACAAATACATTTATTTCCCTTTTCATTTTATCCTGGAAGTTCTCCGGTGCTTTGACACAGACCAAGTGATCACAGTGGGAAAAGCAAGTGCAGTTTGGGTGGTGGTAATTGATAGCATGCAGAGAAAGGCACTCACCAGCACTGACAGTGATTGCTTCAATAAACTGCTCCCTCCAGCTGTTTGTCCCCACCACAAGGGCTAAGTTTGTCTTCTTAATAAGTTTGTCCACGGTACTCTAGAAAGGTTGGAAAGAATAAGATAATAACTGCTGGGTTGGTTAAGGCCTCGGGAAATCTAAGGCCTTGTTAATTCTGAAACCCCAGAGTTCTACAAGGGATGGCGGATGTTAAGCTCGGAACAAGTGTTGACATCAAACACTGTCACGATTATGCAAACAAGCATAGTCCTTGCTTGGAACCCTTCTGAAATAGAAATTTCTTCATAGCAGATATGAGCTTCCTTCACTGTCTAATGGCCAAGGAAGAATGGCCTCAGTGTTTAAGAACAGCAGATGTTGCAAAAGCCCACCCCTTCCCCTTGAATGCTTTATGGATTGGCTTCTCTCCTGGCTTCATCTGTAGGATGCTGCCTACAACTGAATTAAGATATGACCTGCTCAGCATTACATATCTCAGAATAGCCGCAGTTGGTAGATAGATTATGAAACTAAAAACCATTATTATTGTACTTTTGTTTGTCAATGGAATGCAGCCAGACAGAAGAGCTCCAAGGTTGCTCCTGCATGCTCATCAATAAATAGATTTTTCTTTGGCTACTGATTTTGTCAGCCAGGCAGCTGTTAGAGAATTCACTCTAACTCTACTTCTGTTGCAAGCAAGAAAAGAGGAGACAAGAACAGGTGAATTCATAGGGCTTAGGGCCCATGGCAATTGGCGTAGCTCTGAATTTCCCCATGCTTTACTCTTCTTTTTAGACTTTATTTTCTCTTTAGACTTTTTTTTTTCTTAGACTTTTTTTTAAGCACTTGGTTTTATACAATTAGCACTCTCTAGCTTTCTAAATGTCAGTTAAGGGAACAACAGGAATAGCCAAACGTTCACAGGAAAACTAAGCAAGCAGATGCACCCAAAGCGCTACCACAAATCATAGTGACTAGAGGGAGAAGGGTCACTTCCAGGACATGAGGCCACTCTTCCCAGAGAAACTACCACACGGACTAGTCTACCACACATCTACACTTATTGTCAGAGCATCCTCGAATTCCCACTAATTGCAAAGAGGCAGAAAACACATATTATTTGTCTGAGGTCAAACTCTGTACATGTTTAATGCAGTGTACCTGAATTGACTACGGTTTGGGAATAGAGCAAGTTATCAGCAAACTGGGAGCAAGGAAAATGGGATCTGAGCAGCCTGTATGGAAGGCCAAAGCTCAATCAGAATGTTAAGTGGGTTCGTTCAACAAGGGTCTTGTGAACATAGAGATGATAAGCACCAAAAGGCCCATCTCCCACTGGCCCACTCTGTATTTTCAACATTCTTTGCTCAGTTGTTTCCTCAGGGCGGTGACCTCTCCACTCTGAGCATGTGTCTCGAAATGCCAGTGCCCCTGATAACAGCTCTGTCACTGCTCTTGGCCACGATAACTTAAAGCACATGACAAGCATGTCTTTTCTCTCTGGCCTCAGCCCCATTTCATCAAGCACTCTGAGTATCTTGGCTGATGCCAGTTCAAAGTTCTGTGGAGAATGTAGCAAGAAATGACCTTGATCTTTCCTAAATGTCTTGAAAACGTGGAACAGGCCTCCCCAAGGGAGCCCTCTGTTCTGATGCCAAGGCAGAGAATCCCATCACCTGGCAGATAAACAATGAAGAGAGAAACTGCTGTAAGAGCTCAACACACAGACTTGCCTCAGGAAATCTCTCTAAAGAACAAAGTTTTAAAATAAATGAAAGTTAAAATTTATGTGGAGGAAAAACCCAGGGTAGATTATAAACTTTAGTTCATGTTGACCCTGGGGGACTATGGGATAGCCTGGGTTCTACCTGGGACTTAATTTGCATATGTGTCCTCCCTTGACCTATGGGAGGAGGGGGACTGACTAAGATGAATTTGAACTTGGACCTGTTCATCTATATTCTCCTGGAGGTTTCCTATATGCCAATGATCAACTCTCACTGCCCTAGACCTGGAAGCGACTGTTGTAACCTCACCCTCAACGGTGGGTATTAGGAAAGTCAAGCCCTTAGTCACAACATAGTAAAGAACCCAGTGGGCAAAGACAGAGTGGGACATTGTGAGGTATCACCCAGATTTGGGTCTTCAAGCAGTTCTGAGAGCTTTGAAAAAGGTCTTTAAAAGAGCTATGGTCTAGAAAAAGAAATTTCTTAAAAGGATGACATAATATCAAAATTGATATCTGAGGGCACCTCAGGGACATGCTCCCAATTTCCCTTTTGTGTTAACAGTAACTACTGATGAACTTCGAGGAGGTGGGAGGAAATAGTCTATGGGAGCTATTCTAGGAAGATAAGAACCCTGAACAAGCGAACTTAGGTAAAGAGACTGGGGGACTTTGAAATGTTCAGGCCATTGGAGTGGTTACCAGAGAGAACTCTGGACCCAAGAAAGCTTTGCTGCCTAGGAGACTGTGCCCTGCCATGCCCAACCCAATGCTTCCTCCAGAAATTTCTGTGATTGCTCCTCTTAGTCATGGGTACGTGGAAGGGGAAGGTTGAGGGTTGTCCCATAAGGGAGAGAACACACAATTACTCCCCATGAGAGCCCTGGGGGTGGGGGCAAGCTTGCACCAGGCCCTCTGATTCCAGATGAAAAGAGGGTGAATGAGGAAGAGGGAGGTTGAATACGTCTGGACAGACTGGTCCATAGAAATGGACAGTCTGAGTCATCTGTACCCCGCGATCACACGGAACCTGTGTGTGTATGTGTGCCAGTCTTACGTGTAGAGTGAGGCAGGTTCTAGATCGAACAACAGCTGAGCTCTGATAGTTGGGGTCTGCCTAGAAAGCACTGGTCCCGGTCTTTACCCCTGCTCCTTCTTTCCGTGGGAATGAGTGAAAGAAACAGTGATTTGTAGCAGCCTGAAGGGGGAAGTTTAATTGCATTTTTATCTTAAAAATTCCACTTTGATTGCAAAAGACATTTTTTCTTTCTACCTGTCTCCTATCAGGCACCTCACTTTGTGGACCAATTTTAAAAAATAATTAATGGATCCAGCTAAAGGAAAAGAGACCACTGATATGAAATATCTAAGATAAAATACTGAGGCTTTCAAGTTTCTGGCCTGCTTCTTTCTTTTGAGATCCTCATTCTGGTTTTGCAAAGAGGAGCAGAGTCTGCTTTTGAAAAATAAGTGGGGAAAATACATCTGCCATCTGGGTTTGTGGTTCTGGAAAACCAGAGAACAACGTTCCTTTTCATGTCCCACTGCAGAAGTCAAGTGTGGCTCTCCTGAAGGGTCTTCTCAGACATCAGGGCTGTGTGCACGCAGTGGGATGGAAGGTGGGATAGGGGGCAGAGGGAGCACCTAAGATGGACAGGAAGTTTCACCTCAAAATGCTAAGCTTACCCTAAGGTCCATCTGATTAACTTCTGAAAAATTACTTTCATCACCCAGAGAACCAGGAACCCAATTTTATCAGCTCAATTGTAAACTCTCTGGTTATAGGCACTATATACCTTCGGTATGTTGACTGTGCTAATAGGCCCTAGGATCTGAAGAGGACTAAATATAAATGAGAACTTGTCAATGGGATGGATGTGCTATAGGGAGAGCTTACCATCTCCCCTCCACAACAAAAGCCTCCTAATTGTCAGCAGTGCGAATGCTTTGCTTCTGATAGATTTATTCCCTTCAAATACAGCCTGGTCCCTTCCACACAGAACAATCTCTACCTTTGCTTCTTCCTTGCTATCCCCTCGGACAACGTCCTCCCTTTGGGGCACCCCTGACCCTATGCAGGGACAGATGCCACCCTCTGGACCCTGGTTCTGATACTGTTTGGTTTGCAGGACCTCTTGGTTTCCTACCAACTTTCCAATTCTAGTTCTGCTCTGAAAAGCTTCTCGGTTAATGAGCCGGTTCCCGAAATTGCTAACACTATGAGTAGTCTTGGTTCCAAACTAGGCCTGGCCTCCCCTGTGGGCAGTGTTGGTAAGCATACCTTGAATTCATAGGATTCTTCAATGATCACTTCCAGCTTGGTGTGTTCTCCCAGAATGGGGCGCCCCATTTCTGCAATGCGCCTCTCCTCTTCCTCTTTGCTGGTCAGTGGTTGCCTGTCATCACATTCCTCTGTGAAAGGGAAGGGCAAGAAAGTTAGCAGTGTGCTCAATCCTCTTTGGAAATCCCTGTTTTCTGCTACAAGAAAACCAAGAAGGAAGGAAGCCCTGATGACCCACTAAAAGTCCCTCGGGCGAGATCATCAGTCGAGGGGAGAATTGGACAGAGGCTCTGGGCAGGTCAGGCAGCACATCACTGTTGTGCTTGTTGACCGCAAGTGGATATGATGACCCACAACCTGAGCATAAGCCAATGTGCAGATCAGGAAAGCAAGATATAGACGCATGTCACCGAGAAAGTCTCTGCCTGCACATTGTCCCTGTTGAGGGAATCACCTAATTGTCCCCTGTGATGCTGGGTCATCTGGCTGTTTGCACACATTCCCTTAGCAGGTGACCAAAGGAACCACAATGAAAAATGCTAGAGTCACACAAGGGATGGAGGAATCTGGCCTCTTCCTCTCCACTTTCTAGAGGCAACAGAAAATGCCCCAGGGCCCACGAGTTGGAGGAAGGGAAATTCTGATCTTAGCCAGAGCCCCTGTTGCAAGTTAAGAAGCAAAACATCCATTCCATTTCACCAAGATGCCTGTTTGCTCTAGTGCTTCCTCTCTCTGGTGGAAAGTTTGCATTTGTTAGGAAGACCTTGACCACGTTCATCTTAAAGTAAATAGGGAGGGCAAAGGTGAGGCCTTTGGGAGTTAATACTACTCACCATGTAAGCGTGATTATTTCCAGAACCACCATGTAGCTGACACTCCAGGAGAGGCTAGTGGGTGTTAAGAAAATGTTAATGGACTTGAGAGTCCATTAATGAGAGGAAGCTCACAGTTGGCTCCTCTCTGTGTGAAGATCATTAGGATAAATCCCAGACTGAAAAGGCCATGCACATGTGAAGGGCAAACAATGTTCCTATAATCACGCTACCTCCTTATCCTTCAGGCCCAGGATGCTGGAACAAGACAGGCTACTTTCCCTCAGAGTCAAGTCAAATGTACTTCATCTCCAAGGAAGTAGTATGGTGGTATGGAAAGACCTCAGCCCTGATGCTTTTGCTTCTAGAACTTTCCAGGCAAACCGCCTGCAGTAGGAATCTGTTGACTGAGGAAAACATGAGAAAGGGAGGGACTTCTAGCCCACCCTTCTTGCCTTTTGCCTTTAGGCATCAGCTCTGTAGGAGTCCACACCTCTCATTCCCTCCAAAGACATGGTTTCCCTCTGCTGAGGACCTTGCTGTGGTGGTTCCATTTGATGCTCTAGCAAATTTTGTAGAGAACTGGTTCCTAGGCAGGTGGTTCACTGCTAGGGCACGGAGCAGAGGGGCTAGGGATACCGCTAGCATTTTATATACCAAGTGTCAAAACCTACCCAAGGCAGAAGCAGAATGGAGCATATTAATTAATTCTTTAGTATGTACTCAATAGTGTCTTCCTAAAGGAATATTTTAGAATCTGCTTTTCTATTCCCAGTTTTTACGGGGCCCCAAGGAAATTAGATAAAGACTAAAAAATACGTGATTTTGAACTGGCCAGAAACTGCTGAAAGTTAGTATATGCAAAGGAGAGGAGATTACTTTTAACTGTAAAAGTAGTAATGTGTTTTATAGTAGGCTCGGGAAGTTATGACCCAAGAGAGGGCAAAGGGTTACAACTGGTGTGCGTAGGATTTGTCCTTGAAATTATGTGTAGTCAAGGAAGTGGGACGCTGGGATATGTGATGTCCAATCTACCCAGTGCTCAAATCAATCATATTGTGATTCCCACTGCTTTCTGATCCTTGAACCCAGGATAAGGTTGTTGGTAGTTTCTTAGCAGCAGGTCACATTAGTGTCTTTGGTCAAAACCTTGGCTGAACATGGATGTCTTAGAGACGTACATCAAATGAAAATTATTTTTCCAGAAGAACAACTGGGTTTATTTTTGATTTGCAAAGCCATTGGGAGAGAATATTTATTATGGCTTCCTTTTCTGTCATTTACTTATAAATGGTAAGTTGCTTTAAATGGGGTTCAAGGCAATTTAGGTAGAAAACTGGGGAAATTACAAAAGAAAGGTGACGTGGTAGCAGTGTTTAATACCATATTTCACAAAATGAAATTATTTGGAACATGGTATTAGATAAATGGACATGGTAGTAAATGAAATCAAATCACAGTGATTAAAAAGGTTATTCCCTTTTTAATCATCTTTCAGTCCTTTGGATCAGGAAGAAATGCTTCGTTTGGTACCATTATGCCTGTAACTAGTTCCTGACATTTGTTCTATGCATATAAAGATCCTTTGTTCATTGCTCACATGGGAGGTGAGGCAAAGAGATGGGACAACTTCTAGTGCAGCAAGGTAAGGGCTGAGGGGTCAGGGTGGGGAAGCAGCTTGCTCTGCCTAAGGGAGTCAGGGAAGACTTCAGGAAAGAGGACATATTTAAAACTGGCGTTGAAACCTGCAGAGAAGCTTGCCAGGGGAAGGTGGTGCTAAGGTTGGGGTAGGAGGTGGTAGAGTAAGAAGGGGCATTCCACAGACAGAAGTCAAAGCACAAAGGCATAATGTCATGGAGGGGTCAGGGCTATTTTCACTTAGTAAATGTCACGAACATTTAAGGGAAAATTCTATGTAATGGAGAGGAGACAACTGGATCGTTGCTCCACAACGATCCTGATAAATTAGTATCTATGGTGCAGATTTTTGATACTGGCAAAGAAGAGAGCTGGGACTATGTTTTAAAAAGTGTCCTCTCGGGCGCCTGGGTGGCTCAGTTGGTTAAGTGACTGCCTTCGGCTCAGGTCATGATCCTGGAGTCCTGGGATCGAGTCCGGCATCGGGCTCCCTGCTCGGCAGGGAGCCTGCTTCTCCCTCTGACCCTCCCCCCTCTCGTGTGCTCTTTCTCTCTCTCTCTCTCTCATTCTCTCTGGCTCAAATAAATAAATAAAATCTTTAAAAAAAAAAAGTGTCCTCTCTTTAGTATCTTTTATTGATTGGGGAAATAGTTGAACACCATTTTTTGGGATCGTCTATTATGTTTGCTTCCTTTTCACTTTATTTTTGTTTGTTTTGTTTTGTTTCCTTTTCACTTTGAACGCTGGATCAAATGCAGCCCATTTCACTCTGGCCACGTCAGTTTCACCTCCTTATTTATGCCCCAGTGACAACATGCTGCCGTTTTAGTTTTGCTTCTCAGACAGAAAAGTCATTCTCTGTTTCTGTCTCTCCATACAGATACATGTACGCTTTTTAAATTCACCATATTTTACTGAGAAGTTGATAATCAATCACATAACATCACGGTCTTAACTAACTAACACAACCTAAAGATCAAATGGATAATTCATACCCCCTGCCAAAATCTGTATTGACAGGACATAAAACCAGCCTGTGATAAAACCACCAGTAGAGGACGTCCCTTCTTTTGAGTAATTGATTTTGCAAATGACAAATTACAGAAGCTCCTAGGTACCTGGGATGTCTGAAAAGGCTGCTGCTAATGCTTTCTGGCTCAGCTGCTCTTTGAAGGGGAAGGGCTCAGAGGGAGAATCCCTATTAGAAAACAGAACAACCACAGGCAGATCTGCACCTGAGGAGCTACTGTTGCTATTCTTTCACGTCGTGGCAATCTTTAATCTTAACCAACAATGTCAAATTCGGAAAGGGGTACAAGGCCAGCGGTGGGACACTTTGCTCAAGGTTATTTTAATCCTTCACTCAGATCTGTGCTGTGACAAGTCTGAGAGTAGAGACCTCTTGACAGTTTTCAGCACCTGACTGGCCTTGCTGGTTAGAGCCTAAGGAGACTGGTCTATTTATTTCCACTAGGAATATTCTGGAACAAGTCTGCAGTCAGGTCTTGGTATCATGATTATCGAGTAGGGAAGTGGCATGTGAGGATGAGGAAAGGAAGAAATGTGTCTCCCACCATGGCCAGTGACGGCAATGGGGATGACTGAGGAATGACCATCCCTGTCCTCACGCAGACTTGGAGATGCTGCCTGGGCTCTAAGCTTACAGTAGACCCGGGATGGTTGTGTGATCCTCTAGTCACCCTGGCGATGTTCCCTCTGAAGAACCCCCACAGATGTACTATCACCCATGCATATGTGGCTAACATTGCCTGGAGGCAAGAGGGCAAGTTCTAGAAAGAAGTACAGCTTGCTTTTAAAGAAACGCCATTATACTTGGAAGGAAAGACCCGTGTTTGAGGAGGGAAATTTGGAAGAAATCTGGAATCTATTGAAACTTGAGAGCGAGAGGTCATGGCGGTCAACCTTCTTTGCAGGCCCGTGCTGCTCCCTCCACCAGGCCTCCTGTCCTGCGTGGATGCGCGTGTGTTTTGTTACGGACCCACCATGCTCGGAGCTTCAGAGAAACCACTGCACCATTTAGCAATGTTCTAGTGGGGACACGGGCCAAACTGTGCTACTTTAATGTCTAAAGACTTAAAGGACACTTGAAGGCAGTTAACTTCAAGCAAATTAAACCGTGGTTTTCAAAGACCATGATGCACTGAGTACCTGCAATGATGATTACAGTAGAGGGAATAGGATGTTCTCTAGCATGAACTTTCCGGAAGACAGGTTGGCCTAGCGAAAAGGACAGGCAGAAAATCGTTAGAATGGACTGCGTTGGTTTGCTACCAGAGCTCTGTGGAATTAGTCGGCTAAACATCGCACCCAGATGCACACATCACAAGCAGTGTTAGTTTGGGGGTTGAGTGGTTAGAGGCCACTCCTATGGAGGCCACAGAAGTGAGCAAATAAATGGGTCAAGTGTGCTATGAGCCAAACCAGATTATGTGAATGAACCACACACTCCTCAAGAGGGGGTGCAGCTAGGTTCCTGCAGGCCTCTGAAGTGGGTCCTTGTCCTTCAAGTTACTGCTTCCAGAGGCCTCGTGAAACAATGGAAAGCACTTAGTGTGATGACAGGTAACTTGGTTTTGAAGCCTACTGTTGCCAATGACATAACCTTGAGCAGGCCATTTCCCCAGTTTCCCCACAGGTAAATGGGGATATTAGCACCTGCTCCATCCATATTACAGGTTTGTTTGAGGGTTGAGTAACTTAGCATCTGGGAACATACTTATCTATTTCCTGAGCAGTCCGACTGGGAGAAGATTTCATACACTGGTAGGCTTTGCAAGGGTCTGCCATCATCACAGTAACCATTGGGTTACCTAGGCCGAGGGTTTTCATTAAACTTCTGGCTCAGTTGACTGCCAAATCTACCTGCTGTTGGCTTCTACCAAGAGCTACCTTGAACTGATCTGAGAATCATGAGATTGGGACTTCGTGCCAACTCTGCCATATGTTTGCCATCGAAATTTGGGTAGAGCAGAGCATTTCTCTTCTCTGAGACTCAGTTTCCTCAATTGTAAATGAAGTTAAAGTTGAAGGGGATTTGTTCCTCTACCCCGGATACTGGAGTGATTGAAATGTTTTAAAAAAGCCATGTACCTTGTTAAAGTCTATTATATGATGAGCATAATATAATTGGGAAAGCAACTTTTAAAGAAGTATATTGACTTTTAATATATAACTCTATGGCTGCCTGTTTGGGGAATCAGACATGCCTTTCTCCTCTCCAAATTGAACCAGAACCCTTAATTTTTTTAAACAATACAAATTAAGGTGCTCTAGTTTCCCTCTTCCAGGGTCCCCCTCATTTCTCATTTGACTGGCATTCACACTGATGGCATTTATGTGGCATAGCTGGGCTTTGGATTGCCAAGGGGTTAAGATGAAGGTAGGAATAAAGAGACTGAAAGGGAGGAGATGAAAGTGCTGGGGTTAGAACACTCATCAAATGGCTGTGGACTTAAAGTCAGAGGGCCAGGCTCTGAATCCTGGATGGGTGATTTGGGGTAGATTAATTAATCGCTTTCAACCTTCATTTCCTCCCTATAAGTGAGAAAAATAAAATCGTACTCCATAAGGCTGAAGATTAAATGATATAATGAATACGAAATGCTTTACAAACTCTAATGAGCTATAATGTATAGGGGGTTATCATGTTATATGCCGAAAAGGTCAAGGGACAATGAGATCATAGGTTCCAACAAGGGCCTTTCAAAGAGGCAAGGTCTAGGAGCAACACGTAAAGATTTGCAAATTCCAAAATCACCTCCAGCACTTAATGTCCACCACTAATGAAATCTCTGAAATATATTGGGCTGTGGACCAAATGACTTTTTCAATTTCCATATATCCTGTTTCAAATTTAGATTTTCACACTCAGCTGCACAAAACCATATAAAAGCCGCAGGCAGAGTCCAAGGGCTAGATTAATTCTTCTCTATTGCCCCTGCATCTCAAAGCCTTGACTTCAAAGCCTCAAATTGACTTCAAAGAAAAGTTCTTTAGACTTAAAGCTGCTTTTCACTGTGTAGACCTAAGTTTTTGAACCTTCCCCAGGGCATCTATAGAGAGTGGATCCCAGGCATTCTGACCTGGATTGGGAGAAGAAGGGTCATATACTGTGAGAAGAACAGGCCAATGTAGAGATTCCCAGAGAGTTTTTGGAACATTGACTTGTTCTAACTGTATCAATTTCAAGTGTTGGGAAAAGGTGGTAACAATAGACAAACATTATTTCAAATTGAAGCCATAAGAAAGAACTTAATGAAGTAAGTACACGAAATGATAGGAATCTTTGGAAGAAGCGATTCGGTTCTCTTGAATGCAAGATGTGTCCTAGGCAGGGAATGTTGGACATTACCAGACAGATATTCTAGAACATGATATGAAGAATTCCTGAGAAAAGAAAAATAGGATTCTGTTACTACCTAGATACTTCAAGTGATAGGGAAGGAAGACCCTAAAAGCAAAATCCTGACATAGTCAATAAGGAAAATAGGAAAATATCTAAATATATCAATGCATTTTAACAAAGCATTCTATAGCCCAAGATTTTTGGTGAGGATCTCAGTATCAGGCTGCGTAAGGCTGAACGTGTTGCTAGACACTGTACTATTTCTAAAATGGTTGACTTTTTCTTTCTAATTACTTCAGAAGCCATGAAGGTTGTCTTCCCCAATTTCTACCTTCCTCAAATCTCACAAGGATAACCAACTTAAAATAAATGGAAATTCCTGCATTAGATTCAAAAATAGCGTCTTCAGCAGTGCACAGTGAGGGAGACTTGACCTGGGAGAACTTCAGATGGCTCAGATTTTAAAAATCCTCTATGAGGACTTGTCCTGTTTAACGTTTTTATCCTTTTCAATTTCTGTGTCTCTGAGAGTCTTTGGATCATTTCGTCATTAGATGCCATGTCTGGAGGGAAGCAGTGGAGAGCCAACAGCCCCTGTGAAATTGCTCGTATTCAGAAAGTTCTACTTGGGATAGAATCATCCTGGAACTACCTGATCATGAGTTTACAAGAACAGTGGTTTAATTAACCCCCAACTCCCTTACCACAGCCTTTGCAAAATTGGAATCTGGGGGAATATTTCCTCCTTTAAGTATTTTGGTTCAGCTGATTGCAGAAAAAAGATAATTACAGTAGTGTTATCTGCACAATATATAGGAAAATGCCGTGGCCAGTAGGATGCCCTTAGGGACATCTTTAACCTGCAGTTTCAGACACATCACGCTGACCATTTGATATTTCTCTCTCTCTCTCTAAATCTGCCTAGATGATTCTGAAAGGGTGGGAATAAACTTAGGGTCAAAAGGGAGGATACCATAAGGAGACACCTTCTTCCCTCTGTACACAAGAAAATAGCTTTAGAGTTGTGTTAAGTGACGTGATCAACGCAGGATGGATGCCAATATGAATTTAAGAGTTTTAAACCCTTTGAGTGGCGTTTTGGGTTTGTATAGATCACTGTGTAATGCACTTCTAGGGGTCATGTTAATAATGCTCAAACCGAAGTCCCAAAAGAGGGGCTCAGACTGGTGTCGTGGAATGAAGAGAAGGGACGGCTCTGCCCTCTGCTATCAGGGCATCATATAGTATTAGGAGACCGAGCTTGGTCCTGGATGTCAATCCCTATGTTTCCTTGAGGCCAGCGATTGTCTTATCTAATCTGGTACCCTGGAGCATCTAGCAGAATACACTGCACATCATCAGCACTACATGAACATTTTCAAATCGACCAGTATCAAAATGTGAACAGTTACAGGTTCTCCATACAGATTTGCTTGTACATAAACACAACACACACATTGTTAATGTGTACAATGTTAAGTGTGTAAAATCAGCAAGAGCACACCTTGTGCCACAGCTAAATGTTAACACAGGTTACATAAAATGTGGTTTTGGTTTGATTTTTAAGGGCATTTGGGGGAAAATGAAGAACATTAAAAAAAAATCTGTCTTACCATATAGGTATTTTCCTTCGTTCAAAGCAAATAAAAAAGAGAAACAATTTTTTAAAATGTAAACAACATATGGCGAAGACAGAAAGCAAAAAAATAAAAATTGACGTCATTAGCTTTAAAAATTCATACCTGTTATTGTGAAGCCACCTAAAAAAGAAAAAAAAAGAAGAAATGTTACAATTTATTTAACTTACATTCTAAATGACAAATACCAGTGACATCGGACTGCCTGGCCACCCATCCAAGATACAACAACTTGCCAAATTACATTTACAATTAAGAAAAATCGGGTAACATCCATTCGTGATTTAATCACTACTCATTCTTTTAAGATTATGGGACTTAGTGCACACATTTCATTCTTGTGCAGACCTAAGCAATCACTGGTTTTTAAAAAGATCATACTAAGCTAAAAATGGAATATTAACTATCTAACCTACACAAAAAGGAGGCCAATGGCCCTACACAACAATCCTGCCAGTAAATCAATAGAAATAAAGGTCAGAAAACTACTGTACCACCTGATATTCATGGAAAATCACCTAGAGAAATGGAAAGGAAATGGAAGAAATGAAATGCTTACCAAGCTCATTCAATAACAGGGCTGTGGAGGAAACAGACAAAGACAACACAGAATAAGAGACCAGATGAATAATGAAAGTAAGAGGAATATCAGCAGAAAGAAATCCAGGCAGATCTGATTCCAGTGGTGGGAAGGCCCTGCTAACGTGGGTGCCTCCGAGGGAAATGTGGCATTGGGAATAATTTCTAATAAACAATCCCAACACTAAGTTTTTGCAAATGTGTGTGACTTATTATATATGGATACAATTCCCCTTATCTGTTATTTCTTGGCATTTAATAAAACATTTCTACTATATATGTTTACATATAGTAAATGTATCTAGTTTACCAAATAGAGTAGAAATGTTTTATGAAGTTAATCTTAACTTCATTTGAGTGAGTCTTCCTCATTAAATATTGCCCAGGAGTTACTGAATTCAACATATGGAAGTCTTAAATCATCCAGGATCTCAGGTGTGACACCTTTCGTTCAATGAAAACAGATAAAACATCTTCGGAAATTCCATTTTGGCTGCCCTGCCTGAAGGAGACTTTGGTCCAACGTAAAGCTCTCCCTGGAGGTTCTATTTGCATGGTATTCCTTGGCCGTCAAGGGATGCTTATGTTTTTTAAATCCTCAAAATTTGGGTGCCAGGAATTTGCATTTACTTGTGTGTCCTCTATGACTTCTGCATGTTATAATTAGACAATCACAATTCTTCTTGTGGACACATAATTCCATGGAAACTGACAAGGCAGGTGGTGGGGAGGGGGCATCGCATCCCATAATTTGTCTTCCAAGTTATGTGCTTTAAACCCAGACTATACAGTAGCACTTTATTTTGGTGAAAGCTCCCTAGCTAAACATATTATATAAATTTCTTCAGGAGCTGTGGAGGGGAATGCTACAATTCTGTTTTCCGCCCCATTTTCCTGCTAACGGTTAGTGGCATTAGAGGATACTTTCTAAAACAAGTCAGTAATTTTATTTATAGTGACAAGAATCCACTTGGAGGGTGTGAAACCAGATAGTGCTATCAAGGAATTTTAATTTGCTTTTACATGAGGGCATATTTTACTAAAACGACAATTGAAAGAGCTGTATCCAAGATGCTCTTCCTTTAGATAAAAGACAGTGTTTTGGAGGAATACATTTAGAAGTAAGTGCTTTTTTCCTGTATGCTAATGACGCATTTTTGATCCCATCTTTGTAAGAAATCAGCTCAGTTTTCTAGTGCCTTTTCCTTCTGCCTACTGCCTATGAAACATATTAAATAGCCGCATTAAAATGGGTCCCCAGTGCTCCATTCTCCATCATTCCAAACGGCTCCTGTTACCATTTGGGACATGATTAGGTCAGAGACATACATTTTTTTTTTTTCCTTTTTCTGATGGACTCTGAAGTCAGCGAGTTCTTACAAATGTGAGATTAAATTCCCCCAAATGTTGGGTCCATATAGGAATTAGTCCTATATATTTGATATTTTTCCTTACATGTAAAAGTATAAATTTCTTACAAAGTGGTCCATCTAATCATCTTCTATGCCAGTCATCAATTGTTTGGTTGCAATGAGTAAGAGCTATTAATGTGTAGTAAGCTCATTTTACATGTATAATTATGTAATCCCTTTAAAGTGGCCACTGTTAGAGGATAATTGTAGGAAGCCCTTGTAAAAATTCAGAATAAAAAATTATCTTTAAGGGTGGTATAAAATTCTTGTCCTTCCTTATCAAAAATAGGTGGCAGAAAATAGAAATAAAATCAAAGAGGACAAAGAAATTGGCTTCTTTGTTCAAATATTTTCCTAAAAATATATAAGTACAAATCAACTAAAAGAAATCTAGTTATGAGGATACTGCTGTTTATTTCTTTTCTTTTTTTATTACACGTATTAGAAATTTGTAGATTCTATAAGGATCAAAACACTTCAGAGCATAAGGCTGGTTAGGCCTTAAGCAAGGGCTAAATTCTTCCTAAAGGACTATATCCTTCCTACTAAAGAAAATTTGTATGACTGTAATTTCCTACATCTGGTCCCTTTTAAATGTCATATTTGATGATATAAAAAAATCTCAGGCCAAAATGAATGCTAGAATGTGGGTAACACTACTCTTCAAGGATCTTTGTTCTTATTAAGTATATATTTTTTGAAAATTGGGTTGTCTAAAGAAGCCTAATTATTGAATTCTTCTGAAAGTTCCCATTAGTTGCCATTAGACTCATCGGTCAGTACTAATAGGTATTAAGTAGTCTTTATCATGAACGTTCAAGGGGAGATTTAGTAGTTGGAAGTACATTTTAGAACGATCCCTGAGTAGTAAATACCTGAACACAGAAATCATGCTTTTAGATCATCACTTCTGAATCACAGAAATCTCTTCTAGTATTTCTTCAATCTGCTTTCAATCAAAGTTAGTGGGCATTTCCTTGAGGAAAATGGGCATTGTTTTGGTGCATTTGTGAATTAGGGAAGGGAGATGAAACTGTTAAAGCTTCAAAGGAAATGAAGGATAGTACTTGGAGCCAAGGAAGAGGAGAGAGTTAAGTGTGAGAGTAGGAGACACGGAGAGAGAAGAGTACAATTTCTCGCTGGTATGTCTTTGTATACTCTCACACCTTTCATTCCTCTTCTTATCCATTTTGGTTCCTCAAGCACAAGGGAGAAACTGCACTCTTTCTCATATTCCTCACGGTCAAATATTCTAATGGTAATGATCTTCCTGTGGGAACACAAGACAAAGGCAAAACAAATGGTTGGAGTCACACGCTCATGCTAGGTGTTCACCAAGCTGCATGTTACCGTGATGTTATGGAAGGGAGAACTGGCAACACATGGACCTCGCAAGTATGTAATAGGGCATGGCAGCTACTCTCAGTGGGCCCCCATGACCTTGTCTCCTCGTTTGCCACTTTCACAAATGCTTCCTGCTTCAATGAGCTGGCAGGAAGCACCCCGACTTAGGAAGAGAAATCAGAACGTGGGCTTCATTTTGGTATGGCCAGCATCAGGACCACCCTTCCCAGAAACAGGCCGGATTGACTGCCCTGAAAATTGGTCTCTCGGATCTGCCATGTGCAGAGTGGCCAGAATTGGCCGATGGAGCTACAGGCTGGGCCCGCTGGGGCCCGGGGGTGAGATCTATGCCCTGTTACATAGGTGGAGGGATGTGTGTGTTGTGAGCCACGTCTGAAGAGTGCAGGCATCCAGGGGTGGCACAGGCCAGCAGAAGCTGTTGGGCTCAGCCCTGGAGCAGCTTCCCCACCTTTCTTCTCACTCATCTCCACCAGGCGGGGCTCTCCAATCTCAAGGAAGAAGGTCTTGTTTTTCTCATACTCCTCATCATCAATTACCTTGACTGATATTGTTTTGCTGAAACAGAGAGAATAGAAATTGACGAACAAGGGGAAGAGGAAAGAGAAGAGAAGGAACATAGAGAAGAGGAAAGCAAGGTTAACAAGTTGCACTTCCAGACAAATGGCAACTGAGAAACTTCTGTACTGTGACTCTCTTCTTCCAGGAGGGGTATGGGATAGGTCTGGAAGATTGGAGAGGTCACCCAAAGCACAGCTCCCCTGCCCAAGGCCATGGAATGATTTTAGGTAACATAGAGCACTCAGGACTCATAGGTTTATCATCACCATGAGAAGGAAAAGCAGAAGAACACAGATCACAATAATAAGAAAAGAAAAATATATTTATTTAGTAAATGCCTTAACCGTAGGATTGTCTGAACCATGCCCTGGAATTTACTCGATTAGAACAAATCAGTAAATCACATCAAAATATCAGAAGAGGTTATCTGTGAGTGATAGGCTTATGGGTCATTTTTCTTGGCCTTCATTCTGCTTTACTGTATTTCCAAACATAGTATTTTTGTACTAAAATGTTAGTAAAGTAATAAATGTATAAGACCATCACAAAATAAAATCAAACTCTTTAATCTTACCCCACCCAATGTCCCAGAATCGAACTCTTATTCAGGCTAGTCAGATTTTCCACCTAGATCACAAAGGGAAAATGTTCAGGTTTTATTTGTCTTTCTAAACATGGAAGCTGAGGCTTCCCAGTAGCTATTTTGAAAGGTGGGGGATGGGGAGTCATGATGCTATAGTGATTTTCAACCCTCCAAAGCTGAGTTTCAACTTTGACAAAATATACTATTTACACCACTTTCAAACCCCACCCACACACCAAGGCATTTAGTTAAGAATTTTTCCCGTAATCCATCTGTTAGCACTTCTAGCCTTAGGGTCCTCTGGTTGTGAGTGAAATGGCAGACTGTAGGACAAATGCAAATATTATGCAAATCTCAATTTCCCATAAGCCTGATGACTCTGAAGATATATCTAATGTTACCTTCTAATTAATAAGGGCTTAATCACTTCCTATATTACCACTTACTCAGAGCCCCCTAAACACTTATTTGTCCTTGAAAAAATTTTTTTTTCCAGTAACACTGGCCAAGAACATTTCTGACTAAAGATTTTGAAACACTGAGTTTACACAGACGCGTAGTTTTAGTCATCGACATTATTTAGTTTGGGTGGAATTTTCTAGGTCTTCTGGAAGGAAATTAGTTTGTAACCCCCCCCCTTTTTTTTTAAAGAGAGGGAGAGTGAGGTGGGAAGGGTGTGAGGGGGAGGGAGAGAGGATCTAAGTGGGCTCCACCCTGAGATCATGACCTGAGCTGAAATCCAGAGTTGGACACTTAACTCACTGAGCCACCCAGGTGCCCCCCCTCTTTTTAAAAAATTATTGATCAAAGCCACCAAGTTTTATTTATACCTATATATGCCAAAGAGCATTGGTCTTCTTTCCTAGTATAAAGGAGAAGAAAGGTAGAAGTTGCTTTTAATTCTCTGAATTTCCTAGCCCCTAATGCTAAATGCTTTAGTCTTGCTTTCTTGGGTTAATACTGTAGAAGTGAGATCAAATGCTTGCTTCTGGTCCTCTGGAGCCCCATAGCCAGCTCTCTGCTCCTCAGCTTACGAACATCCCCATATGATGCCCATATCCGATTTCTCATTACTAAGGAGTTGGACTCATGACAGTGCCTTTTCTTTCCTATCTCAGCTGCGTCCTCAAAGACTGAAATACTAAGGCCAGATGAGCAGCTGTATATGACTAAAGCAATAATCATTTTTTCAGAGTAGTCAGATATTTACAAACTTCCAACGGTGTGACAAAGTCCAACTACATGTACGTAGTGAACAGTTGCTGTCTAACTTCTGAAACTATTCTCTGGAATTGATTATTTACTATTGATTGATTATTTACACTATTTACTCAGTGTGTGTATGTATGTGTGTGTGTGTATAAATGTATATAAAATCACTCTACCCTGACTACACTAGGATATCTGATCATTCCTCAATCTCCAAAAGTTACAAATTATTAAAGAAAGCGCAAGAAGATATAAGAAGTGATGATACATGTGCTCTTTATTTCAGAACTAGATTTGATGTTATAAGTGAAATCAAATTTATTCTACAAAAACCTGCCAAAAGTTTATCCTTTTTGTCATCAAACTTATGCATTTTGGATTTCTATCTTCCTGCCTTATAATCATAAACTACAGTTGTTCAGCTCTACTAAAGCAATCAGCCATAAGACCAAGTGTGGAAAAGCATTAATGGGCATCAGAAGGGCCATGCTACCATCTTTTGGAGCTCATGGCCCAGCATTTGTTATCACTTCATGATAGGGTACACAAAGGTGGATGCCATGTTGCAATGTTCTTGCTTATATTACCTAAAAACATTTGACTTCTCTTTCTCCATCTTGTGCTCCCAACCCAACCTACATCACATCACATGTTTTATTAGATTGAAGAAATAGAGTACAGTAGAGATGGCTGGTGGAGCCTGGCTAATAGGGTGCCTTTGTTTAGAAAAAGCTTCCAGTTTTATTCCCAAAGAGCAACATGACAACTCATTCAGAAATAAATAGAAGCAACCAAATAACATTGTTTCTTATTCTTGGCAAATTTAATCCTCTATTGTCCTAACAGCTTTATTTTCTATACTCTGAGTAGCTGATGAGTGTGAGATATATGAAGCCCCACACAATTTGTTTGCATAATAAAATAAGCACTGAAAGTTTATCTTTAGATTATCACTATTTACTAGGATAATAATCCTTAGAAAATGTTTCAGTATTTGATAACTGTGACACTGGAAAATCAAAGAAGAAGAAAAAGAAACCAGTATTTCTGTAGGTGCCTGGCCAAGACACCTAAAATAGATGGGATTTGCATAATGGCATATTTCAAAATCATTAATAATACCATCAGTAGTGCCCCTGACAGGGGGAGCCATTAAATTAGAAATTGATTTTGGTGCTCTTGCATAGTAAAATGATTAATAGGAAGCTTGCTTATTAAAGAACATTTCAGTCCATTTAAAGAGGCAGGATAAAGTCAATCCTTATGAATTAGCCCTTTGAATCAAGAGAGGTAAAAATCAGAAGGGATTGCTAATGCTCAACTTTCGCTTCTCCCCCCAGCAAAGGTAGCAAAGTTGAAATTAACCAATGTAATTTTTAAAGGAACAGATCCTTAGGCTGTCCCTAGCTCACTTCCCAGAGCCTAATGCCACCTCTTTCATCACATGGGAAGTTACAGGAGATGGGGCACATTTGGTGAGGACTCCAGGTATAGTATGATAATCAGCAGAGGCATGCCTCTGTTCCTCACAATTCCACAGTGGATATAAATCTCAAGGATTGAAGGGACCTTAGAGGTTCCCTCCATTGGCACCCTCTCCGCCTCCCCCCTCCCCCATTGCCACACCAATCCCACAGTCACTGAGCTTTTGCTCTGTCATAAGGACTCCTTCTCCCTGAGAACACAGATTCATGCTGGCTATCTTTTGTTCTCTTTACCAACGGGATGAAGTCATGTTTTTTTTCTTTAGATTGACAGGTTAACCCAAACAAGACTGGAACAGTAAGGCAGACACAGCCCTTCATCCAATGGCAACTCTTATGCTCTTATTGCCCCAATAAGGAACAAATAGAAAAATTGATGTCATGCAATTTTCAACTACCATAATTATGAAGAAGGTAATGAGAACTTTTCACTTGATTTTTTCTAAAAAGTTCTAAAGTTGAATAGTGTACTATAAAAATGATGTTTTCTGGAAACTAGCAAAGCAGTTAACAAATCTTATGATAACACTAAATAATTTCTCAATGTGGCCAAAGTTTTTATGGAAATCCATCTTGGTTCCATTTCTAGGGGGAAAAAAGGATTTGATTAAGAAAGACCAGTTTATTGAGTGGAAAAATGCAGGTCATTCCTTTGATTTTTTTTCTTTTTTTTTTTTTTTGCAGTGCTTTTCCTTTGGTAATACTAAACCAACATCTATCCTTGACTTCTCAGTCTCTCTCTTATCTGACGGGTCTCAAAGACCTGAGAACCTTCCAACATTTTACCAAGGAGTTCGTATGTCTGGTGGTGACTCAGGCAGATGGTGGAAAGGAAAGAAAGAGGTGGTTTTATTAGTGGAGGTAAAGAAAAGAAAAGAAAATTTTGTTAAAATATACTCCGATCTCTCCTCAGTAAGCCAAAGTAGCATCTGGGCCTCTTTTTCTATTTCTGCCTTGATTTGCCCTTCTGTGGTTTCTTTTTCTCAAGACTGCCCTTGATGTTAGAAGACGTGAGACAAAGATAAGTTTGGAACGTTAAAGTGAAGAGACTCTTCTTTTAAATCCCCGTGC